AACTCTAATCCCCGAAGACTCTATTTATAGCAGAATCTTGAAATTCCAAAGACTCGAGCTTATAGAACTCTAATCCTTGAAGACTCTGTCTTTATATCAGAATCTTTAAACTCCAAAGACTCGAGCTTTTAGAACTCTAATCCCCGAAGACTCTATTTATAGCAGAATCTTGAAATTCCAAAGACTAGAGCTTATAGAACTCTAATCCCCGAAGACTCTATTTATAGCAGAATCTTGTAATTCCAAAGACTCGAGCTTATAGAACTCTAATCCTCAAAGACTCTGTCTTTATAGCAGAATCTTTAAACTCCGAAGACTTAAGCTTATAGAACTCTAATCCCTTAAGATTCGAGCCTTGGACCTTCCAACATTCGAACTTGATAAGACTCAGCCTTCAGATCGAAGCCTCAAAGCTTTCAGGACTCCGCTGTTTCGCAAACACTAGAATGATTTCCTAACTGTAAAGAGGATGCTAGCCTGCGAAAACTCATGAACTCGAGTACGGCTTCGGTGGGAACCGCCACGGAACTCCGTCTAGATCATCGATTGGATCGTTGGTTCCTCTGTTCCTGGTTTGTTAGAGGGTACGGGGCGCGGGTTTATCGATGTCGGGTCGATTTTACACGTCGATGCCGAGCAGCTCCCTACTGTTGGCCCTCGACAGTCGACGGCGTAAACTGCGACGACGGAACTCCTTCCATCAGACGGATGCGCGTTTCACGCGAAGGCTGGCAACGGTCGGGGGTCTGTAGCCTTGGTACCCCTGGTACCCTTGGTCCAAAAGCTCCGAGGAGTTCGCCGGTCCCAGGCACGTGCACGAGCACACGCTCACGCAGTCCTCCGCGTCGTGAACTATCGGCACGTGGCCGGCTAACAGTTTGCCGTTCACCGGTACCACATCGCCCTCGAGGATCAGGTCGTGATGGGTGGCTGCCTGGAGCTCGTTGTCCTCGCGGCGAGCGTCTCCCGTGTTCCTGTTTTGTACACAGTTTATTGTAATCTTTCTGTAGTATCTAGAACTTTTAGCGTAGGTTAAAGTATTTTTGAGAAGAGTGAACGTAAGAATGAGTGCGAGTGAAGGACAGGCTGTAAAACGGTCGAGGGAAAGTGGCCTGCACAACGTCACGGACCCAAGACTGCAGGGCCAGCTTTCCAGGGGTGCATCGAGTGTTTGCGATGAGTGCGAGTGAGAAGAATATTTCTAGTGAAAAATTTCATATTCTATATATAAATTAACCCTTTGCACTCCAGAGGCGCCTCTAAGTCACCGAATGATTCGACATAGCAAAATTGTAAACTTTAATGCATCGATATACGAAATATTGGAAGAAAATAGTTCTCTTCCTCAATGCGGAAGATAAATTATTTAACCCTTTGCACTCGAAAGTCTTTGACTGGAGATATTCAATATTTTCCGATGAGATATAGACGATATTGTTTGAAACTAATTCAACGATAACTTATAGATAAATTAAGGAACGAAGCTATTTTATTGAAATATTTCACGTAGCAATACAAAGTTTAATTTAAAATACTAAGTACTTCATAGTTTTGCTGTGTAAAATAAAGTGCTGACTGAGTCACTTCTCGAGTGCGAAGGGTTAATTATTATTGAAATTAAATTTCTAATGTAACTTAAACTAATATAGAATTTCGTTTTGAATTAATCGTATTTAATACGTAGTTTCAATAAAACTCGATAGTTTTATAAGTTATGGATTACAAAGTATTGTAAATTCGATGGATTCTGTTGTTGGAAAAATTGTATATTTTGAAGGAAGGATTGACGGAAAGTTGGTTGTAAAAATGAATTGCTAGATGCTAACTGAAATATCACAAGGATAATGTATAAAAGACAATATCTGCGATACTCACATCGTCATGAAACGTAGTACAAGCAGATTTATGCTGGCAGCGACGACGGCCAAGCCGAATAGAATGAAGACTAAACTTAAGGCCACGTATCCTGGTTTATTCGAGAGCGCATGGTCGTTCTGTAACAATTGTATTTTCTATTTAAAACTGCAATAGGATAATATCCGAAGCGATATTACTTTCGTTTAACCCATTGCCGCACACTTTCAATTTCAAAATCGTGCCCAGAACCGCAGTATTTTTGTAATTGTTCGCTTCGTCTAGTTCAGATCATGAAAAATCCTACACAAAATCAACTTACATGTAATCTAGACTGTTACGTCATTTTTGTTCAATGTATTACTGAAGAATAAACAAATAAATACATTGGTACAGTCCGTAAAATGGACTAATTTGCAGCAATGTTAGGTACTCGTGGCTACCGTAATGGTGATCGACTTATACTTCTCGAAGAACCACCCGAATGATCGGGAACAAAACTTGAATGAGTAGGTGCTAATGTAAACTTGGTTCCTTTTGTGACTTATGTTCTAATATTGTGCTATGTGATCTGACTTCCTACTGCCTGAACCTCCCAGAATCGCTTCGACGGTGGCTCGGTAGAGTCGTCTTAGCGGGAGTGAAGACGTTCTGGTTGGTTTTTTAAGTGCAGAGGGTTGTGGAAGGGAGACAAAGTTCCCTCCCTTCTTGGGTCTTCCAAGTTGCTAATGTTAATAACTAATTCGTGCCGTTTGCAATCCTCGACCGTGGCAGGTAAAAGCAAGCAACGCTTTGGCCTTAATAACACATGCTAACAGACCGGCTAGAGAGTTAAAATACTGGTGACTGAACGCTAGATGTGAACAATAGACAAGGAAAAGCTGCAGTAAGAATCGCGGGCCTTATGGGTTGAGGGATCATGGCTGCCACGGTCCCTTCTCGTAATACGTAAGGACGATTGCAAGTCGCGACGGGACGAGGGCTCTTATTCTTACGAAAAAACTGCCAATGTGCAGCTAAGTCCTAGAAAAGATAAAAGTGTATACAAAAACTAAAGCTAAGTGGCATTAACACTAACGATTGTACAAATAACTCTTAACCAGTTAACTGTGTTCGACCAGTATACACGTCATCTTGAAACTCTCAATGGTGCTAACTCTTTCAACGATGGACTACTCATTTTTTGAGACAAACATGTAATTCTCCGTCTTGCTTTAGTGCATTTGGCCTACCTTTAACGAGTATACACTTCATTATTTGATTTTATCGCGCGCACAATGAGATTTTTCAAACGAAGTTCCACACTTGACTGGTTAAGGGAGGATAAAATGTGTACAAATCTAAAGCTACGGTGATCTGAGGGGAAACGGGAAGGCTATAAGTGACCTTGACAGGTTAATCAATGTAAACATTCGTATTTCGGACACGGAGGAATAATATAATCAGAAAATGTCGAATGGGAAGAGGGTAATTTACCTGTAGCGCGACGTAATCACCGAAACCGATAGTGGTGAGCGTCACGAAGCAGTAATAGAAGCTGTCGAAGTAACTCCATCCCTCGTAACGAGAGAACACGGCAGCACCGGTCGTGATGATGATGCTCGAGAGCATACCGGTCGCGAGCATGAGGTTCATTTCCGTCGCCTCCGTTTTCTTGCATCGCAGATAAGTCTTTGCCCGCTTGATCACCACGGACGCGAACTTGTTCAAACGTTCACCGATACTTTGGAACATCACGAGACCCAGGGGGATTCCCACCATTGCGTACGCCATGCAAAACGCTTTGCCGCCTATAGTAACTGGCGTCGAGTGTCCGTAGCCTTGGAACATACAAAGAAAAATGATAAAAATAATATTTGCCTGATTTCCACTTTATCAGATCGTAGCTTCAATGTAATTATTTCCGAATTCTTAATAGAATGTTTCAGTAATGTCTATAAATTATACTAGAATAACTGTTAATTGTGAACTTATTATATTTCTTTTGCGTGTTCGTTAATTTATTGATATTACATTTCTTTTCTAACGGTCCGATGGAGAGTAGAATAATAGCGAAGTGTTTTGAAAATTGTCACGTATGAGATTTCAAGGTCGCGTCTCCATATCGATTGCACGTGATATATTTAATTCCCATCGTGGGCGGTAAGGTTTGCGATTGATAACAAGCTTAACGATCCGGCTCACCTATCATAGCGAGCACGAGCGTCGCGAAGTAAAAGGCACCCGCGAATTTCCATTGAGGTCCAGCTTTGTGCGGTTTGTTCTCTATTATGACGATCTCCAGCATCCTGTAATCCTCCTGCGTGATATTGTACTTCTTCATCATGTTCCGGCGTACCTCTGAAGCAATACGCTGTCATCAGCATCGTTCGCTCAATCGAGCGGTGATTCATTATTATCTAACCCTCTACATTGCACGAAACGATCCCTATAGTTTTCGATTCTCTATCTACAGTACCGTATCCCGTTCCCATTGATATTCTCAATATCTACGGTACCATTTTCGATCTCTATTTACAGCGCTATCTCCGTTCTCCATTTATAGCGGTACGACCGAGCAAGTCGAACATCTATCGGAACACCGACACGTGAAGAGACGATCATCAAAAATCAACTCACCGGAGAGAAACTCCCAGCGTTTCCTCTCCGTGTTCGACTCGAGCGCGTCGAACACCGCCGCGCCTATGAGCAAATACGTGAACGTGCACACTACCAGCGACAGAGTCCTGACATTCTGCCTCTTCATCTTCGCAGTCCGCCAGCGAGCGTCGCCACGTCGTAACACCCCCGAACAGTTTCGATACCGCGCGATCAGTCACTCGCTAGTTTTACGCTGGACGCGTCGCCGATCCTCACCGTTTCTCACTCATGACACTGCCACACGAAACGGTGCCGCGAGCCGTGCATTTTCGTCCGTTCGAACGCGACGCTATCGATTCTCCCGCGACATGTTCACAGGAACGCCCGATTGGAAACGACGAGACGCGTGCACGATCATCCGCGAAGGCCAGCACCCAACACGCCGCGCTACGCTCGCGTCTGTCGCTCTCGGATGAAGTATTGATCAGACGCCAGCGCCAGGATAAGCGCCATGGAAACTGTTGCCAGTGGTCGCGCGCGAAACGAGGCCGGCTAACGGTAAGATAACGCGGTGTATTCAATGGTCTGGGTCGGTCACTGATCAGACACGGTGGATTCACTGTCGGTGACTGATAAGGACCATGGGAGATGTAGATGTTGAAGAAGGAAATGATGTTTAGATGTCAATCTGTTTTATAGTTACTCGTAATTGTTGTTCGTAAAATGGTGATTCTGTGATTTAGGAAATTGCAGTTCATTGGTAGGTTTGTTTAGATGTTAGTGGCAAGATAACGTGGTCTATTCAATGGTCTGGGTCGGTTACTGATCAGACACGGTGGATTCACTGTCGGTGACTGATAAGGACCATGGGAGATGTAGATGTTGAAGAAGGAAATGATGTTTAGATGTCAATCTGTTTTATAGTTACTTCTAATTGTTGTTTGTAAAATGGTGACTCTGTGATTTAGGAAATTGCAGTTCATTGGTAGGTTTGTTTAGATGTTAATGGCAAGATAACGCGGTCTATTCAATGGTCTGGGTCGGTTACTGATCAGACACGGTGGATTCTCTGTCGGTGACTGATAAGGACCATGGTAGATGTAGATGTTGGAGATCAGCGATGAAGAAGGAAATGATGTTTAGATGTCAATCTGTTTATGGTTATTTGTAATTGTTGTCCGTAAAATGGTGACTTTGTGATTTAGGAAGTTGTTTGTCGGGGGAGGTTTGATTAGATGATTATGGGATTATAGATTCTTGCGGAGCGTTTTGTGAGAGCTGAAGGCAATTGGAGGTTGCATTAAGGGTAGACTTCGTGGGGGACTGTAGTTGGCTGCATTACCAACTGAGAGCACGGGGATGCAGTTCAGCTAGTAGCCAATGTATTTTCGTGACGTGTTTTGGGGATATAGAAATTTACCAGCAGAGTGTAAATAAATGAATATTTTTGTTACGAATATTAAGTAGTTAAATGTGTCGGAATTATGTATATATTTTTGACTCGCGTGATCTATCATTAACTTCGTGCAACTTGATGAATAATGAAGGGAAATGGCGAACAATGGCGAGCAATGGCGAACATCGGCGAACATCGGCGAACAGAGCAAATTGGAGCAGAAAACTGAATTTCAATCTATACCTTGTTAATCATGATGTTCGTCAATCTTCAGACACATTTCCATGTCCTTCCAATTCACAAATTAATTATAAAAATAATTTTCAACTCGCCCTCTATTTTTCCATTTTCTTCCGTCTATACATCCAAAAACAAAAATTATTCAACACAAAAGTCTCTTTGAATCCCATTTTAATATCCCCAAATCTAAAGTACAAAGTCCAAACAAATCATGTAATTATTTAAACATCAGTGTATAGTCATCTCTCCTCTACTATTTAAGACTTCGTTATATAACTTCCTCTCTTAAGGAATACTCCCAAAGATCCACCTCCAAGAGTTATTATTTTAATCCAGGCGAATGAATTATTAATTAATTGGGCCAAGGCACTGCAGATCGCCGGATCCCCAATACCTTTCCAGGTAAGTCTCGGTCGGAGAGACTGGCTCCCTCAAAGGAGCTTCCGTGAAATGTTAAAAGGGCTTTATCGTTCCAAAAAATCGGGCCACGGGAATGCATTGAATGTCAGGTCTATTCTTAAACGCGGCCTGCGTTACGGGAAATCGATGCTGGCAGCTGCCACCGATAACTCGGGGGACAGCTTACCGACCGAGGATTCTGCACGATGGACCCTTTGACCCGTCGAACGTGGCCACTGAGACGTGGACGCTGATACAACGCGATCCCAACGAGCTCCCGCCTAACTGGCGCGAGGTCCAAACGACAGGAATCATTAGAGCGCTGGAACTTGGCACTCGATGGAGTTTCGAGTTAACTTCATGGACCGCGTCTAATCGAGTTGCTCCTGTATTCCAGTTCTGTTCTTGCCCCTGCCGGCTAACTTCCCGCGTCCAACCTGTTAAACGCCCCGCAAAGGGGACTCTCCCGTTGACAGATCGCTTCGTTTATTTTATGTCACGCTCTCAATATTTCGTAAAGACGTAGAATCTCTTTAGTGTATCTCTAAACTCCCAAACGTTGTTTCCCGACGTTCCCTTCAAGGCTGCGAAGGTAATTAGCGAAGAACTTCCATAATGAGATACGGCCGCAAGGGAATTCTCGATTCTAGAACGAAATCAACCACCGCTACCGACCACGTTATCGTGACTTCTACAGTCATCCTTTCAATGACTCCGGAATGTTTAATCCGTGACTAGTAAAGGTTGTTGTTAACCACCTGTCCTATGATCTATTTTTCACCTGTGATAGATACAGCTTTGTAATTTATCGGGAAAAGGGAAATTCTGTATACATCTATGTTTGCTCTACAGTATAATAATTAATAACTGAAGAATATTTCGAATTCAAAAGGATTTGATATTTATGTTTCTAAATTCTATTTAAACAGTTAAATAATATGTACATTCATTGTATATACTCTTACATAATAAACAATACAATGCAAACCTATAGAAACTTCGTAATAGATGACAATGAAATATTCCTTTTCAACGAAGTAATAATACTACGAGATAAAATTCACTACGAGCAGTACGCGTCACTAATTATAATTAATTTAAATCGCTAAAGTTCGAAAAGTATATACTCTTACATAATAAACAATACAATGCAAATATATAGAAACTTCGTAATAGATGACAATGAAATATTCCTTTTCAACGAAGTAATAATACTACGAGATAAAATTCACTACGAGCAGTACGCGTCACTAATTATAATTAAATCGCTAAAGTTCGAAAAATTTGATTCCGCGTTGAAGTCAGCAGCGAACCGAGTATTCGCCAGGGGAAGACACATAATCGCTAATATAGCAGATAATGGCTAATTCATCGAATTAATCGGCGCAGCGATCGATCCCGGCCTCCATGACACCGAATATCCAGATTTGCCCCCGCGGCTTGATTGATTATCGGAAAAGCATTACCAAGTATTATTGAGGAGACCGTCCACGCACCACCGCGAAGATTAATCCCGTCGCCAGCGTCATTATTCCGGATATTTATCCGCGACACGCGCAGGATAGTTACGTGGTTTCACTACGAATATTGATTTTGTAACGAAGGGATAAATCTAGGTCCATCGAGGCCGCGCGGGAGGCTCGATATCGCCGGAGGTTCTAGCATAATTACAACTTCGACGGATGGCACGCTCGGTTCCAGGCATCTAGGAGCAAACTTCCCGAATAACGTCTCTGTAATCCGGAACAGGCGAATTCGAATACGTGATCCCGATCCGTTCGGCGTGTTCTCGTGACGAAGAAGCAACGAGAGTGTACCCTTCGCACTCGAAAGTTTTTCACTTGAAGTGTTCTATTTCTAATTGGATGTAGACGAGATTCTTTAACCCTTTGCCTTGTGATAACGTGAGACTCGTGGTGAAGATTTCAAAGAGAATTTATCAAATATAAATGTTACTCGATTTTTGTCGAATAAATCGAACATTACTATTCTGTTATTATAGTATAGAGCAAACATTGACATAGGATATGCTTAGAATTCTTGTCTTTTTTCAATAAATTATTAATAACAATTTGTCATAATTGAGAAATCGTGGAGCAAGGGGTTAAAATGAATTTAACAGATTATACATAAATTAGAAATCTGGAAAAGGGTTAACAATGAAACAAAAGAAAAATTTGTTTGTGATCTAAGTCAGTTTCTTGTTTCGAGGTACTTCAAGGTGAAGGTTTGGATAAATTACAAGATATTTAACATTGAGTATTTATACATATCAAATGTTAAGAGTTTTAAGAATTTTATGATATTTTTAATTGAGTAATAAACGTATTAATATTTTAAGAGTTTTAGTTTGAAGAGAATGTAATTAGACGACGTTTGATTTTTAGAGGAAACTTCAGCGTTTTATGTGTCATTTCTTCTTTTGTAACGAAGATAAGAAGAAATGATTACCAATTATTTGCTACTACAATTCTTAAGTTACATTATTATTTATTTACGCCGTTGAACATTTTTCTTGGATGTCAGTTATCTCACGTACAATTGTTTTCAAGTCATTCGAAAGCTCCAGTCATCGAAACGAATATAAATAAACGATCGAAAGGCGATTCAATTGTTACTCGATTTTATACAGTGAAAAATATATAATTTGATATTCAATATTATATTTTGAATAATATTGTAATAAAATTGCTTTGTTCCTCGATGAATTAATATTTAATTCTAGTGAAAATCTTCCGAGTGCAAAGGATTAATTATGGTTCTTTGAATAAATATGAAATTAATCATTGCCGTAACAGTTGTATTTACGAATAATCACGGCGAAATTCTGCTTAGTTAAATATTTCCTGAAATGTCCCGAAACAGAATTTCACTTCGACGACAGCGAATGCGTCGAATTCATGAGCCGATAAATCGATCAGTATCTACTTAACAGTCAGCACTTGTACAGTGAGTATTGTGTATGAGGCAACAGCCGGCATCCCGTTAAAATAGTACCGATCTCGAGAGTATTCCGATCGGATCGTCGCTCAGTACAGAAAAGTCCATTCTAAAAATTCTACTTAAATATTCTAATTCCTGAATTTTCCTCGCTATAGACAATTTGTATATTAGATCATATAAGATACGATATACAAATGTATATTTTTTTACATAATCATATGAAATTACCTATAATCATCTACGGTGCATTAGTCTTTATTATATTCTATATAATTATATATTAGAGCATGTAACATATGATACATAAATATCTCTTTTTTCACATAATCATATAGATCTATAATTATTTAGTATTATTATTTATTATATACTATAATATTGCACACCACATCATATAATTACATAAAATTATCTATAATTCCTATTAACACATTGAACGCCGGCTAAATTTCAGAAACGGAAGTGTCGGTGATT